ATTAGTCTTTCTACACATAATTAGTTTTTTGCTATTTGAATTATCCATGTAGGATTTAACAAAATTATTTCAAAGCCATGAATGTTAGCTAGCATGTAAGTACCCGTGAACAATTGAGTATAAACTTAATTATTTACTTGAACAAACAATTATACTATTTTTTTAACGATATATCATACTTAGAAATTGTTAAAATTTATTTCTAGATGATAAATGTAGTTTTGGGGTAATTTTTTTTTCCAAGCAACTTAACTTCTATATATAAATAAATATGGGTATATGTGTTAATATTATGACATGTGCAATGCACATTTCTAGGCATTGTTAAAAATAATTTTAAGTTTCTTGTATTCAAATAATTATGTTACTCAAAGTGGATGGTTTTAAAAATTTAATGGATTAGACAAATGAGGACAATTAATAAATAATTTGACATTAATTATTAGAGTATTAATTTTATTTGATCACATTATTAGTTGTATTGATATGTGTAGATTTAGCACAACATTCTAAACAATTGCCAACTTATTCAACATTCCCAATAATATTCTTCTATCATAAACAATTTCAATAGGACTTTAAATTTTTAGACAATATTTATTGAATTGATCAAACCATTAATGAGTAGCATTTAATAGAAAATGAGAGGGAAAACAACAATTTTTTCAGCTGCTTTGCTTTAATATATATATAGATTTAACATGTTACTCGTATATATAATTGTTAAACAAAACAAACTGTTCGTGAGCTTATTCAAATAGCTTTTAGTTATTGAGTTGAGCCGCTAATGCTCGTTACTTATAAATAGATATACTAAAAAAAATTTACTCGTGAATTCGTTCAGTGCTCTTTTAGTTAAAGAGTCGAGCCGCTAATGCTCGTTAAACTTGATAAATAAAGATTTTTTCTTTTATATATATTTTCTTAAAATTTTTATCATGTACCAGATTGTTCTGGCTCAATCTCAATTCATTATTAGATAAAACTCGACTTCATTAATTGATTCGTTAACATAACGAGTCGAACTCGACTTATTTACAATTCCTCTCGTGATAGAAAGTGAAATAAAAAGAAGATAAATTTTTTTTTGGATAAAAGAAGATATTGTTGCAATATAATTGTTAATTGGCTCATTAACTTAATGAGTCAAATTCGACTTATTTACAGCTCTTCTCGTACGATACGAAATAAGATTACGATACGAAATAAGATAAAAAGAAGATTTATTCCAATATTTACACATTTAGAACAAAATTTAGGTCACATTTTTTTCGTATGTTAAATTTTCAAATGTATGAAAATTATTTTGATCCAAACTTCAAGTCCAAACTCGAAATTGGCTTAAAGCCGACAAAAAAGTGAAGTGAGTTCGGCTTAATAGTGTCTAAAGCCACTGTTGGTGGCGGCGTCACTATTCACCCAAAAACGAATAACCAGCCATACTTGACTTTTGGGACCCACACATTTCTTACCCTTTCTTAAGGGCAATGCTATATGTACACCTCTTTTTAATAAATTACACAAATGGGGTGTACATATAGACACCCCCTTTCTTAATCGATCAAAGATATCAATTTGGCTATTATTAAATAAAATAATTTGATTTGATGAGATAGTATCAAACCATTTTTTTTTTTAAATAGTAATATCCAATATGTTAGCTCAACATAACAATTTATATGTTATGATTGAATATAACTTATTTTGGAAAAAAATATTGTAATTAAGAAAGTGACTGAATAAGTTTTAAAACAGTGGAAAGAAAGAATATTTCATATTGCAAATAAATATAAAATAAAATGTAATAACTGAAGTTGGCGTGATATAAAAATAGTAGATAATGATATGACTGAGCTTTCCTGATAATCTAAAACATGTACATAAATTAATAAAAAGATTTATCGAACTTTCTTTTTTTAGTAATGTTGATAAATGCTGGAATAAAATAACTGTAAATTTTAAAAATACATCTATTCATAGTTATAAAGTATTTGTTTATGATAATTTTTAAGAAGTCTAACTTTATTATTTTGTTAGGAAGTAAACAGTTGAATTCATAGTAGAACCAATATTATACAAATTATAAATAAATAATAGTATATTCTTTTATTGAAAAAGTTAGAATATTTTATTATTTGATATTTTTTATTTATTGTGTATACAAAGTTGACTTCAATATATAGCCAACAACATAGAGGATGATTGGATATAAAAATTTTTGGTTTTGTTTGGATTTTTTTGTTTGGTTTGGTTTGTTTGAAAAAGTTGGTATGGTTAATTGTTAGTGGATATATTAAAATAATATTTAAAATAAAATGATTAAAGTTGATTTGATGTAAAGTAGGAAAGAGAAGATTTGAAGTGATGGTTAGTTAAAATTATGTGAGTAGATGAATAGTGAATTAAGGTGATATTGTGTGTAAGAATGATTGATTGATATTATTTAATTATATTGATAATATTGATGATAGTGAGGTTGAGTTAAAGTTGAGTTAAAAAAATGGTTGAGTTAAAAATGTTCTGATTTTTTTGAAAAATTTTTGTATCCAATCATGCTCATAATGGTTCCTTTTATGTAGGATTGTTTTTTAAGATGTCTACAATTTTGATATCTCTAAATTGGATCTCTAAAATCAACCACTTATTTAAAGCCCACTCTCCAATAAAGCACTAAATTATGTTATTGTGAAAATGGACTTTTACTTGTATAAAAGTCAAATTTAAAAAGTGCTCTCACATAATATTATTTAAAACAACTTAAATTACATAGATTTCACTGTTAATATGTTATTGAACATTATATCATCACAATCAAAAATCCACTCCCAAAATCATGTTTACATTATTGTTTGATTCTAATATATCTTATCTATACAGTGCATAACATTTATTGAACAGTATAATCATCACAATAAAAAATCCACTCCCAAAATCATGTTTACATTATTATGCAACAATAAGTTAAATATCACTATTCAATGTTACTTATTATAAGATTTTAATCTTAAAATAAGGAGATTAAAATTAGCTTGAACCATAAAAATATCCATTTAGTCTTGGCCTTTTATCCCAAACAAAACAATTCTAAGAAATTTCACATAACATTGCAGGGACTTTTCTAAAATGAATTTCCCAAAGGGAATTGTAAATCAAATTGAATATATTAAATTATTTTAAATAACTAAATTTTACTGTTAATCAAGCCCAAACAAAAATACTTATATTTATATATATAATTATTGGCAGAACAATTAATAAAATTACATTTGATTTTTTCGCCAAAAGAAGTTACAATTTTTTTCATTAGTAATCCGATTTTTTTTATTCAAACTTCATTTAGTAACGTTTTTCACCTACTTTTTAGGTACTTGTGGTAGAAAACTTTTATAATTATTTTAATTAAGTGTAATCGTATATTTTTTTACAATTATATTATATTTAATAAATTTATATCAACCAATAATAATTTACACTAATGTTATATATAAATTACATTAGTATAAAAAGTTACATTACAAATGTTTTTGTTCAAGCTCTTTATTCTAAAGTCAATATTTTTTTTTTTAATTATTATTTTGTATCTCAAGAAACGATTTTCTTTAGGTTAAAGAATTTAATGAAAAAAAAAATCGATTTTGCTCATTTTTTTCTTGAGGTTAATTATAACTGTTACATTTTTTAATTAATTAAGTAATAATTATATTTTTTTAACTATTCTATCATAAAAAGTATTGATTAAAACTAACAACTATATGTTACACCGAATGGTATATGGAAGTTACAGACATTAAAAAATAAAAATTATATTGTAAATTTTTTTCTTCAATTTACTTATTATTAAATCAATTATATATATATATATATTAAAAAAAAATCGCATCAAAAGATAAAATTTTAAGCAAAAAAACTAGATTTAGTTGTATAGTCTATTAGAATCGGAGGAATAAGGTGCGGTTCCACAAGATGAAGCGCACAATAAGAGGTTGAGTCTATGTGCACTCTAGAGAAATTTCATTCCAAAACTAATTGATGATGGAAGGAGTATCACACTAGACTAATTTTCCCTATATAATCAATGTCAACTCACAAGTGATATAAGCCAAGCCCACATAGTAGGTCGGGTAGAAAGATAAGCCCAAGGCCGGATAGAGAGAAAAGTCCAAGCCCAGAGTAGGTCGGGTAGAGAGAATTATTACAGGACAAGCCCAAACTGATATCATATTAGAACTAGGGGGAAAAGATACAATACCACGAGATGAAACGCACCATAAGAGAGTGAGTCTAGATGCACCTTAGTGAGGTTCCATCCCAAAACCAATCACTGATGAGAGGAGTATCCCAGTAGTCTTATATACTAGGCTAATTTTCTCTATATAATCAATGTAGGACAACTCACAAGTGATATTCCAGCACAGACAAACCCTTAAAATCGCATAAACAATCATTATAATAGTAAATTTGAAAATTTTTAGCTAATTAATTGAACATGATTAGTCAAAATTATAAAAAAAGTTACATTTTTCATAATATTTTATCTAATCAATACAATGATTCATATAAAGTTATATAGTTATGTTTATTATACAAAAATGAATTACAAAATTAGACTCCAATAATCTCATTTTTATTAAAATAGAAAAGAATTTCCAGGTCAGCAGGTGGACCCCGTAAAAATCATATAAATCCACCTAAAACCCCCTCCCATCCCCCCCAAACCCTCGCTTTCACCGTTGCCCGTTCCTTCTTTTCTCCATTTTTCGTTTCTTCCATTTTTAATTGAAAAAAAAATAAAATAAACAAATAATAAATAACCAGAATATATTACCAACTAAATAAATAAATAAAGATCTACCAAAATATAATACCATACAAAGCACGAACCATACCTGACGCCGAGCACAGCACCATTTTTTCAGCCCAATCGGAAAATTTTCCAGAGCACGAAACAGGGGAGCGTGTTGACGGTATCTGTATTTCACCTGAACCAGATTTTGCACGGGATGCCGCCGGCGGCGGGAGTGGTGTCGCGGAGCGATCGTATTCCGATGAATCCGGCGGCGGCGCCGCCGCAGACCCAGCTTCCGATTGTCGCTGCGGCGGAGGCGCACGCCAAGGACGCGGTCATCGCGTGGTTCCGCGGCGAGTTCGCGGCAGCGAACGCCATCATCGACGCACTCTGCGGCCACCTGGCTCTGCTCGACGGCGGGGCGGCGGGTGAGGCGTACGGGCCGGCGTTCGCGGCGATCCACAGGCGTCGGATGAACTGGATCCCGATCCTACAGATGCAGAAGTACTACCCAATCGCCGACGTGGCGGAGGAGCTGCGGAAGGTCGCCGAGGTGAAGAAGGTTCCGCCGCCGCCGCCGGCGGCGGCGGACGGCGAAGAAGAGAAATCGAAGGATTTGAATCTGGAGAGCTCCATGGAGAGCAATGAGGGCGGAGACGGTGGCGGAGGAGAGGTGGTCGATGAGGATTTCACGTCGGAGATAACGGACACAGGTAATTGACAGAATCTCAGATCGCGATTGATTGATTTTGCTCGAATTTTGAGATCAAAAACTACTTACAGGTTGATCTAAATTCCAATCATCAACAACCATTTGCTTTTTTTTTCAGCAATTTGATTAATCTCAATTTCCAGATTGAATTTGTTATCTGCGAATTCTTCATTTTAGTAACAGAATTTAATTTAATTTTGAGCAATTTTTGACGAAGGCAAGCTTTGCTTGGCTCGTTTACTAACTCGAGCTGGGTTGAGTTTGATAAAATTGAAAATTTCACGTATTTTTTAAAATTTTATTTTATTTCGGTCTGTTAAAATTCGAGTTCAGTTCAAATTCTAGTGTCAAAAGCTCGAAATTTGCTGAATTTTATTTACAGTTCTCATACTAGGCTAATAAGTAATAATCACATAAAAGAACAGGAAAAGTGAAGAACACAGGAAAAGAACAGGAAAAGAACAGTAAAAATGAAGAACACAGGAGATTATACGGTCCCGTTACAAAACCATTCTATCGAGTTTGTAACCGTTAGATCAACTATTCACGACGGTTATATGAGGTTACAACTTGTAGCATTTCCCGAAGAACACTAATATAAGTACATTTAATTTTAAAATAAGAGCCGCTTAATTAAATATACTTTTTAATTACTTTTGATGGCAAAATGTATATGATATTTTCCCGAGAATCCGATTTGATGCATTTGGTGAGAAATTCGAGAAAGGAAAAAAAACCGGGCTGTGGACCTGCTGTAAG